TAATTTAAAAAGATAAAAAAATTTAATTTTTTTTATAAAATACAGAAAAGGTAGTTCTTTTCCATGCTGCTTCTTCGGTTGCAGGATAGAAAAGAAAAGATTAATTGTCTTGCAGCTAGCAGTAAGGACTCTTTGCTGATACATCTTCACGGGTGGTAAAAAATATGAATATTTACACTCTATTTACTGAATTATACACACACGTGTGTGCGCACGCTAAAAATCAACTATTTATACCCTCCATTAGAGTAACTATAAAATAAAACCCATCAAGTCGATATCTATAAAGTTGAGATTAAATTGTCAAGCAACGCAAACTTAAAGCCTCCACTCCAAACAAATTCATGGTCCATTTAAATAGCCCAAAGCTATGGGCCGAGGGAATCAATCTATACAGCGATCTAATCTTGCTGAAAAAGCAGCTTTGAACTTGGGGAAGGAGTCCGAATGAGTCCGCTTGACGTGGATTTCCTTTGCTTGTTTAATATAATCCAACCTTCCACCGGAAAACCCAACATATATTATCGGTTGGGGGGGAGTGTAATCCGTGGCAGCGAGCAAGTTTCCAGCTTCTTTTAACTTCCCCGCGAAACAAATCAAGGCATAGACGTAGATTGGCTAGGTTGGATTGAGCATCAACACCGATGGAAAAATCCCTCTTCTTCTCCATGTTGAAAGTTTTCAAGTGATTTTTTTTAAAAAGGATGTATCATCTGAAGGAAGAAATAAAAAATGTATCGAATTTAACGTGCTGAGTCTGTTTTTATCAATGTCTCTCCAGTTTTATCTTGGGCCAAATCCTCCAGTATTGCACTAGCATTAGCGGAGGAAGGAAGAATGGAAATCTGGCTGAACAGAGTGAAGACAACGAGATGTTTTGTTTAATTTTGGAGACTTGTTGGGGTGACATTCAGCATATACAAAAATATATGCAAAATTAATTTACTCCCCTGCATCCTGTCAAAGTATAATGCTTTGAAATAGCTGCCAACAGCATGCTATTTTCAAAACCAGCAAATTGCTCTCCTCCTTTTTAAGTTTCAATACCAAGTGTGCCCAAAGTATTCTATCATGGTGTGCAAATCACTGTATGCATGCATGGAGGGAAATTTCTATTTCACATTTCACTATTTTGCAGTCCAACCAACCAATTCTTTCTGAACAGAATCATAAATCGTTGTTGATTCACAAGACTACCCTGCACTTATAGAATCTCTTGAAGGAGATCAGGATGATCAACAGTTCCGGAGAAAGCTTGCTTGTAAGGGATTTTCAACATTGTGCTTCCAATGATTCTGCAGTTTCAGAGTGGCTGTGGAAACAAACTGTGGGGGGTATTCTTTTGATTTTACTGTTTAATCATGGACTTTTAACCCACAGTTTACAATTAATGGCGCCAATAAACATTTGCAGTTATGCAGTTTTAATAATATATTCTGGTTCAAAAGATTCCTCCCAATTACTAAATAATTTGGTAAAAACAGAAAGGACAACTTGGAATTACGATGGATGGTTTTGCAAGTATTAAAAAAATTAGGAACTGAATTATTTTTATGAAAATTCAATGTTGTGTTTTCCTGGTCCGTGATTGGGTAGATAAATTGACAAGGCTGTTCTTAGACATTTGAAGATAAACTCCCTCCCACCTTTACAGTGCTTCTTGAGCTTAACAGTTCTCTTCTTTATGGTGAAAATCCTCATCAAAATGCTGGTGGTATTGCAACTGCTATTCAACATCATGGGAAGCTGAGGCAATCTACAAGACTGAAACTATTGCATCCACCTTTATTATCATCAAGAACTGAAATTCAAATTTTGTTCTACATCTTGTTCTCCATTTCATATTTTTTCTATGACTATTGACCCCTCGATTGAATGACCCAGAAACTTACTAAAATAGGCACTAGCTTTGTGAACTGGATATTGCCTGCTTTCAGTATTGTTGCATTTGCATGCCTGATGTAGATTTCAAACTTAATTTTGTAGTGAAAATGTATAACACACTTGTGGTATTAGGATTCCTGGGAACAAGATTACATTGAGTGTCGTCATTGCTGCTGGTAATGTGGGTGGGAGGATCAGTGGGAGCAAAAAGTTCCGAAGGGAAGCCCCTTGAAAATTCAGCACTTATAATCAGCAACCCCTGCTTCTAAAGATTATACTGTCCACTTCATTTAGTAACGCCTGGTTAGAAAAACTAGACTGGCTCCTCTACTTACCTTTATACTGAATTTGTCTAGCTTAAAAAGTTATCTATAGTTTGTTCATCTTTTCTTCCCATTAAGATTTTTGTGCCTGTGTTGGCACATTTACATATATGTTCAGCTGCCCTGTGGGTGAAGTTCTTCGATATTCTTAAACTTCCAGATCTTTAGCTTACCCCTCTTATTGTACTGTACTTGTTCAAGAAATAGTCATGGAAATCTTGTCAAAAACATATGACGTATCAGTGTTCACAAGTTACATTCCTTGTACCTTGTTTTTATCACTGGTTTGTCAGTTTTTTTATTTTTTGTATTTCACCACCGAATCACCCACGTGAGTAGGCCTAACGTAACAAGTTGACATAGCTTATGAAGTTCCTGACAAACCATAGAAGTTGATGCAGCTTGGGACTGCGTGTCAGAGTTTCAGAACCCTACATGTTTAATTGTAAAGCATACAAATCCCTGCGGGGTAGCTTCTCGCCATGATATCCTCGAAGCTTATAGGTTGGCTGTCAAAGCAGATCCAGTGAGTGCATTTGGTGGCATCGTAGCCTTTAATATAGAAGTTGATGAGGTGAGTTGTGGTTTATGGGTTTCAAATCGAACATTGAGAACCATCTGGTCGTTAATATTGATTTTCACCAGCATCTGGTCGTTAATCCAATTGTAGTTTCTTTAATGTTTTGGTTGGTGGACTGCTTACCAATGAAAATTAGGTATATGAATGGGCTATAAGTGCCTCTTCACAGTCGCGAGGTAGAATTTGTCTAGTTATACGTATACGATACAGACTTGAGAACCATAGCAAGGATTTCTACCTTGTGTTGTCTGGATTTTTATTATTTATGTGCTTAAAGGCTCTTGCTAAGGAAATCAGGGAGTTCAGAAGCCCGACAGATGGTGAAACCCGGATGTCTTATGAGATTGTTGTTGCTCCCAAGTATACAAAGAAGGGACTCGAGATCCTCCGTGGCAAATCAAAGACATTGAGGATCCTGGAGGCAAAAAGTAACGAGAAAGGAAAACTTTCACTGAGACAAGTTGGTGGTGGATGGTTAGCTCAGGATTCAGATGACCTTACCCCCCAAGACATCCAATTTAAGGTCATGTCTGACAAGGGTCCAATAGGAAGTGAGCTTCGTGATGCAGAGTTTGCATGGCTCTGCGTGAAGCATGTAAAGAGCAATGCTATTGTAATTGCAAGGGTTTGTACTTTGATGAATCTTAGATTTGAGAATTCTTTGTGAATTGACCGCGAACACATTCCAAAGAATTCTCACCCTTATCATTGTTTGGGCAGAATAATTGTATGCTAGGCATGGGAAGTGGGCAGCCGAACCGTCTAGAAAGTTTGAGAATAGCCTTGAGGAAAGCAGGGGATGAGGTCAAGCGAGCTGCTTTGGCCAGCGATGCATTCTTTCCACTTGGTATTTACTTCTAATAATAAAGTTATTGCAATTAAGGGTACTGTTGAAAAATGCTGATCTTGGGTACAGAATATAAACTGGCTAATGCATATTAGCACAGATGAAATGCTTACTTCGAGCTTTTTGTTTGATGAATTTTGTATCCCATTCACTAGCAAAACAAGAGCAGTGCTGGTGTACATATGCACTAATAACATGCATGTTCGGTTAACAGCTTGGAACGATGCAGTGGAAGAGGCATGTGAAGCTGGTGTTGGTGTTATCGCAGAGCCTGGTGGGAGGAGCATCAGGGATAAGGATGCCATAGACTGCTGCAACAAGCATGGGGTTTCGCTGTTTTTCACCAATGTCCTCTAGGCACTGATCAGTTACTTCCAGCATCTCGTGTTTTTTGGTCAACGCCATGTTTCAAGCCCAGAACTAAAGGTTCAATGGTTTAGCTTACTCTTGTTGTTGAGTGTTCTTGTAGTTTGTCCTTTGTCGGCAGAATGTATATGTATTTTAGAGATGCAACAAATTTATAAAAATACTTCATATCACTTTTATGCACTAGGAAGCCTGCAACTATTTTTAATTTTTAAACTGGGGAAAGATTTTTAGTTTCCTTTTCTATTCGAGGTCCTATGGGCTGCCAGTCAAGCAGGACATGGGCTTCTACAACTCGGCCTGCCTGATAATAAGTTGATTTAAGAATAAAATCTAGAATATTGGACTGCTAATGCACTCAGTATTGGTTAATAAAGTATATGAAAATGATAAAAAAAAAGTCTTATAATTGAAAATTTAATATTAGTTATTGAGGGTTTCTTGATAAAAATAATTCTCAAGTAATCTAAATAATTAAAATAAATGAAAAAGGTGGATTATATATATATATATATATATATATATATATAACCAAAAAAAAAATGAAGGATACTTATGACAATCCAAGAAAATATCATGAAATATTTCTCAAACAAGTATAAGAATAAAAATGAAAGAACAAAACAGTTGTCATTTAAAATGTTATATCTAATAATGTATAATAAAATCAAGCTACATAATTATTCTATCTTTATTTGGAGAATATAATATGATTATTTTCTGTTATTTTTTTAACGATAAAAAAGCTTAATTCATGCCCCCAAAAAAAAAAGGAAAAAGAAAAAAAAGGCTTAATACGGCTTCCGTCAAAATTGCCCCTGCCTAATCCGCCAGCTGTATTTATAACTGACTTTTGATTCCACCCCCCCAATAACAAGCCCTGCTCTTCCACGTGTAAAACTTTTTCCCCGCCAAGGACCCCTTCCCTTCAAAGCTAACCACAGCCCTCCCTCAAACAGAGACAAGCTATTTCTCCCCCCCCCCCCCCCCCCCTCTTCTCACTACAAAACTAGAATCCAAGAACCCTGAAAAAGAGAGAAAGAAAGAAAGAACTCCAAGGTCTTCAATGGCTACCCAATTTCTCATGTCCATCATTCTCCTTTCTCTCCTCATTTCTTTCTCTTCTTCTCTCCCTATATACAGCATACTTGATGCCACCCAAATCCTCTCAAATTCAGGCTATGTAGCCATGGCTCTCATTCTTGAATTTGGCTCTCAAACTGATCTAATCCCACCATCTCAATCTCTCACCATCTTCTCTCCCTCTGATACTGCATTTTCTCTTTCAGGCCAGCCCTCTCTTGATCTCCTTCATTTCCACTTCACCCCTCGGTCTTTCTCTCTAAGCTCCCTCAAATCCCTCCCTCCTGGATACCAAATCCCCACTCTTTTCTCCAATCACTCCCTCGTCATCAGTTCTAATGCTGATAGTCAAACCTCGGTAAACGGTGTCAAGATTAACGGGCCGGCTTTATATGATGATGGGTTTCTAGTAATCTTTGGTGTGGACAATTTTCTTGGTCCGGATTTTACGGTTTCTGGGTCCATTAATGGGAGTACTGGTGGAATTCGTGGATGCTATGTTACATCTGGTGAAGATGATTACTCATTTGAGGAGGCTAGTGGGGTTTTGAAATCAAGAGGGTATTCTGTTATGGCCTCGTTTCTTGATTTGCAATTGGCGAAGTTTAAGGACCATACCAGGTTAACAATCTTGGCTCCTGTTGATGAAATTATGAAAGGTTTTATGGGTGATTTTAGTGATTGCCGTTCAATCTTTCTTAGGCATGTCGTGCCTTGCAAGATTTCGTGGAGGGATTTGGTTAGTCTTGATGATGGGGTGGTGTTACCTACCTATTTGAGGGGGTTTAAAATAAATGTAACTGTATCTAGTACTTTCTTGATGTTCAATGGAGTTCAGGTCATTGTTCCTGAAATTTATAGCAATAGTTGGCTTGCTGTTCATGGTCTTGAGGGGAGTTTAGTGATGCAAGAACCGACTGCAACTGCAAGCAACGCTGAAAAGATTGTAGTGGATTTTAAGGCCATAAAGATCTTGATAGCCCTTTCTTTTCTGCTTCTGTGTACCTCTCTGCTGAACTCTATTTTGTAAGTGCATTCATTCACTGCCACTTTCGTGTCCCTTCTTGTAAAAAGGTTTGTGTTCAAGTTGTTAGTGTTGTAATTGGATTCCATTTTCTTATTGACTTGATGTGAAACAATAAAACTACGCCGTGATATTGTGAAATGATGATTTTTGAAATGAAATTCTAATTCTTTTTAGTTTTCCACACTTATGAGCTGATGGATGCAATGATATTGACTCATACATGATTCAGTTGATCTAGGATATGATCTGAGCTTATTGGAATGCTTGTATGGACATCTAACTTTCTCAGTTGACGTGAGATTATTGATATACTAGTTTGAGCCAGTTTAAGTGTGGAGGATCTATTTTAAGAATCAAACTTTATTTTAAGAAAAAAGAAAGTGGCATAGCTGTGAATTGCTATTGAAGGTTATCATTTTTCATGCCGTTAGAGCTCTTGAAAATGAACTATCGTCTAAGCTAAAGGCAAACTAATTGGGTTGATGGTCCTCCCGGGCGATTGCAAGGCTTTCTTTAACTTGTGTTGAAAATGGTTCAATAACTGAAGACTGAACTCAGACCTGTAGATAAGTCAATTTGCCTGGCTGTGTCAGAAGTTTTTGTATGAGATACATGATTTCTAATCTGTAGGCCGAAGTCATCGCCCGGATTCTTTAGTCGGCTACAACCAATTGAAAAGGGATCGGTTGACGGCATTGAGTAGGAATATTTGAAACAGTGATTGCTTTATTCTGCCCTGCGAACATGATAATGATAGCAGCACGGGATCTCAATCGGAAGACAATTACTGTTCTCCTCTTAATCAGCTTCAACTGAACTGACCCTTGTTGCTGAAGTTACAGTACGACTCGCTCTTAATTTCCAAAACGTGTGATTGCACCATCAAGAATGGCACCAAAAGATGCAAAGTCTGATTCTTGCATTATCATTATTGATGATTGCGGCCTCGATTAAAGAGTTTAACACTCCATTATTTTATGCTTTATTTTCTTTCGAGGGCAGGGAAGGTTAATCAAGTACAATGCCATATAGATGAACTATAAACTATCGCATTTTCAAGCAGAACTGCAGAATCATTGAGTAGCTGGAACTTGACAGGTAAACCACAGCCACAGGAAAGTTTTAAAAACCAGTATTGATCTATCTTCCATCGCAAACAATGAATGAGCTCTCGAAAAGGGAAGCTGGAATTCTGGAAATGTATATCAAGTACTGCAAATTTTTAAAGAACAAGGCCCAAGGTGATGTCTTATTCAAGAAATTGAACATGACGCTGTCCTGTTATATTTGTTTCTTGGATGCTGTGTACATGGCATTATTTATTGTGTGTATGCATGAAACAATATGAAACAATATGATGCAGTCAAAGCCTCGCCCTTATCTAGCTATCAAGAAGAAATATGCAAAATTCTGGATAGCGCCCGCTTTCAGTGAATATGAAAAAAATGAACGGTTAAGAGGATGGTCGGATTTTTGTCGACATCAAAATAGAGCAAATGTGGTGGCTCGTGAAAGTTAGGAGGAGACAGAAATTTGTGATACTTGGAAGAATAATAAAACCCCCTTGAATTTTTCACCGATTCTTCTAAGGCTCCTCTGAAATATTGCACTCAATCCATGGCAAACCAGAAAATCAACGGTATCCAAACTCAGCAAATATCTGAGCACAGTAAGTTGTTACAAAGCCATGTACAAAAGGATCCCATATCTTCTGATTGAGATGAAGTCAGAATACGGTGCAAGCTCGCAAGCCACTGAAATCTCCAACAAACCCATGGCATCGTAAAGGTAGAACAAAACAGGAAGCATGAGTGCAGAGAGCCAGATGAAGAGTGACAGGGACCAGTTTGGAAACCATTAAGAAAAGTACGCACATATTCGTAGAAACGGATGCATGTATAGCAGCATCGAGCCCTGATCCCCTAAACCCAAACCAATTTATTAGCTGATTTACCGACCAAGAAGTTAATTCAGAGTCATCTGTCTTGATCAAACAATCAGTAGCACTGAATCATGCACAGATTTGATAAGAACCAGAAAAACTTGAAAAGATGATAACACTGAACAGATTTAATATCAGAACATATGAAGAATATTTCATAGAATTAGGCCAACATTGAATGCATTTCATACCAGGTACCAGTGTAATATCACATACAATACCCAGATCCTGTTAATCAGCAATAGATGAGATATGTCTATCTGAGTCAGTTAAAACCTTGAGACAGATCAATTTCCAATACCCCATGGCATCTCTCCCTCGCCTCAGCTTGACTATTGGAGCTCTCCTTAGCTTATCAAGCTTCTTTTCAAAAAAACGCAACAATGTCCTTCTTGCCCTCATCGAGAAGATTTTGTTTCAGATAGCTAAACAACCGTGCTGGAGGCCGAATACCCACATCCAACATCTCCTGAAAAGTACATGCAAGCCTCATCCAGCTTATTCTCATGGCACAAACTGTTAATTAATGTAGAGAACATATGCATAACAGGAAGACCTCCCTAGGCCTTCATCTGATCCTGTACCTTTATCGCCATATCCACTCTATCCCCATTGCAAAACATCCGTCATCGGTACTCACAGTTGGCTCACATCTCACATCTGTCACTGCTCATTTTCTGGAAAACTGAATAAGCCATTTTGGTTTTTCCAGCCCTTATCAGATGGTGAAGTATAATATCATAGGTTCTCGCATTTGGACCAACTCCACTCTTCTCATGTCATCAATCGTCCACTGCACATCATGCATTCTCTCTGACCAGCAATAAGCCCCCACAAGAGCATTGTGAGTAGGTGCCTCTGGAGCAAAACCACTAGCCTTTGATCACTCAAAAAACTCAAGTGCTTCACTCAAACTCTTTTCAGCTCCCAAGCCATTAATCAATATACAATGTATGTGAGGACTAGGCTTACAATTCCTAGTTTCCATCTCAAGAAACAACTCAATTGCATCATCATACCTCCTAACTTTACAGCGTGCATTGATAAGAACACCGTAAGTGACAACATCCGGTTCAAAGCCCTCATCTTTCATTTCGTTGTAGACTTCAATAAGCCGCGAGAGGTTTTTCTCTTGACCCCACTTTTTAGCAATATCGCATGTGACTTATATCAGCCAAGAATCTTATCTTATTCATTTTATCGAGCACCAATTGTGCTCGCTCTATCTGCCTCGACTTGCACAAGCCACAAAGTATCAAGCAATCTATTAACAGCTGATGACTCAATCTTCAATCCAAACTTCTCCATTTTCATAATGCCTCTACTGCTTCTTTAACATTCCTTGCTCTTGCATATCTCCTTGAAATCAGTGCAAAAGTTTATTTAGTCAATAACCCTTTTAGCTTCTTGGCAGTAACCATGTTCCATGATACTTTAAACTGCTTGATTTTTCCTACAGATTCAATCTAGGCATGGTAGCTATCTATGCTGTATTGAAACCCTTTTTTCTTCTCTGCCCATCTAAAGAACGATAATGCAAGAGCACCTCCATTGCTTAGCTTCTTCGACGCTTCAAAAATTGAACTTGATGACACTTCAATAGAAGCCTTATTGATCGACGCCTCAGCGCCAGAACTGGACTTTTTTTACAATAATTTGCAGATATTTTCAGCGTCTTCAACAATTTTATCAGCTGTAAGTTGTGTGCTTTTGTTGCTGGCATCAGTAAAGACAAGGGTTTACTGTAAATAACCATGGATTGACCCGTGGACGATAAAATGAGGTTTTAATAGAGACCCACATGGGCTTTCAATATTGGGTGTTGAATGGAAAGAAAGAGTTTGGTTTTAGATGTTTATAAGCGATCTCAAGACAATAGGCTCGAGATTGAGGGAAGAAGAGAAGAGAAGAGGAACTCTTTTCGGTGTTCTTGATAGAAAATTGGAGAATCGAGAGAGACCCATGTTTGATAGAGATAATCAAGCTTAGTAAAATGGGAATCGGAAGGGCACTATTGACTGGAATTAGCCGTCCTTCCTCGGAAGGGATTTTAACAACCATTTTTTAGAGAAAGTCCTCGAACCGCATCAGGTTGGTTGGTTGATAAGGCTAGGTTCCGTCACTTATCTACATGCCCATTTGTTGAGACAAAAAAACAGATCCCATTTCCCAAATACATGTTTGGATTGTTGTTTCTCTTGCGCTCACCCCCGCCTATTCAACACTCAACAGAAAGTGTCAGAAGAATAGCACATCCATCTTCATGTTTTTAACCATTTGTCCATTAAAATAAGCTACGCTTTCCTTGTTTAATCCTTTCTTGCCATTTGCCAATACATATTGAGATAGAGAGCAAATAAGAACTTAGTGAATGAGCTTCCGTTGCAACTTTTGAAGAGAGCTTAACAAAAGATTGAACATACAAAGGCGTGCCGATGGCAGCATAAAGGGGGAGATCCTCTTATTGATGCGCAGTTTACCAGTTCCATGACAGGACGCAATTCAGAAAAACCTCCAAGTGAATTCACTTGTTTCCCTTCGACTCTGCCACTCCTACAAACAATATCATAGCCTGCGAGGGGAGAAGCCCAATAAACGGACCTAAACATCAAACAATCAATGTCTATTGATGGTCATCCTCCGAAGTGGTAGACAAAATTCAGATGCGAAAAAAATTGCACCAGTCTCGGACAATAAACCTATAATATGTGCATCTTTCACTTGCACTGATTCATCTGAGAGTTCCATTCATCAAGAAGGTTTTTAATTGTCTCCTCAAATTTCTTAGCCTGAGGACCAGGCTTCACAACATTCACATCGCCCCACTGGGAGCAAGGATCCATCCACCAGGTTCTACGGCCGGTGCACCATGCACCTGGGGCAGCTCGCTTGTGCCCACGCTTAAGGATCTTCTCATCAACCTTGTCTAGCACAGGGTCATCCCTCCGAAACTGCCTTGCAAAAGCCACTCCACTTTGAACCATCAGATCATAATCAGATGTGTTAAGAAAATGGGGTTCCATCTTCGGAGGATTGTCCCAGACCATATACCTTAGATCACTGTTTACAGTTGTATTCTTAAACTCTGGTGCATTGCAAATGACAGAGTGAAAATAGCTTTCTTCAGATAAGACCACATTGTTGAAGTACATAAGAAGGGTTCGAGGAAGGTTATCCCAACCAAGAATACAAAATTCAAGAAATGATCTGCTCAAG